GTGACATGACTCCTGTGGCCCCTGTTTCTTTCCCTCTTCCCATGACACTTCCTGAGCTCTCGCTTCCCTCCCCGATCTCCCGTGATCCCCCTTGCTCGTAGCTCGTAGCTGTTCCCTTGCTCGGAGGCTGGAGCGGCGTCGCTTGCAGTGGTGTGAGGGACACTATGTCAGAAGGCTGCAGGATTTGGAAAAGGGAAATCCAAGGAGAACGTCTCTCGGAGTAGCTGCCGGCTCGAACGACTGGCTTGAGCTCCCGGTCTTGAGCATAAGGGTTCGCTGCGTTTCTCTGGGACCTTCCCGAGCTACGCAGGAGCAGAGCGGGAGGCGGGATTGGGAACAAGCGAGAAGTGAGGCTACGCTCTCGAAAGAAACAGTTGAACGGCGACGGCGGAGCGTGCAATGAATGAAGTCTCGGGTACTCGGGTGTCGTGGTCGTCTGCCTCGTCGTCGTCGTCAGCAGAACAAGGCAGGTCAGTGAGAAGCACTAGCGAAGCCAGCCAGGAACAGTGGGGCAATGGAGAATTAGGGGAACGAACGAGTATAGCAGCGACCTGGGTATCGCGGGACGGAACGAACGGAGTGCTCCGTAGAACGGACAAGCTGAAGAACAGGAGAGAGGGGTGAGGAAGGAGTGAAAAAGGAAAGATTCACGACAGAATGAACGAACGTGGTGGCGACGAGGAAGAATTCATTCCAAATTGTTGCTTTCCGCGACAGCAGCACCAGAGGTAAGGGCCCGCGGAAATCAGAGGATTGAGGAAGATTGAGGACAGGGAGAGGAACCACATCCTCGTTGCGGGATAAGGAAAAAATCTGAGGTTTCGAAAGAGCGTCGTCAGGAGATCGTTCTCGAGTTGCCCTGCAAGTGACAGCGGTGAGCGTTACACGTTCTCCGTGTGGGCGCTCGAGCCTCCTTGCCCCCCGACGCTCGCGAATTTCCGCTCCTCCACACGAGGGAAGCGAAGGAGTATTGAGACAGGCGGAAGGGCAGACATTGGGGGGAATCTGATCGAGATTTCGGAGTCAATGCTTGCTCCTCTGAGAGCGAGAGCACGAGGCGTCGCGTCTCCGACAGACGGCGCGAATAATTTCCGTGTTTTTCCATTTTATAGAAAAACGGAGAATGAAGAGGTTGCGGGAAAATGGCGGCTCCGCTCGAGAGGTAATCCTCCCCAGCGGTGCCCTTTTTCAAATGATTGGGGTTTCGATGCGGCTTCGCGACGGTGTTTCGGTCCTCCGGAACGCCAGTGGGAACCATGAAAAGATACGGAAAAGGTCACGAAACAGTGCGTCACTATAAAATCCGACGTATAAAACACAATGAGAGCTAAGAAGGAGGAGACGGTAGAGGAATCTACGCGGTATGAACCGATGTCCGGGGTTTGCGACAAACCTTAGAGGAAAAGAACCAAAGCGAACTCGGAGGAGAGAAGGAGGAGTCGCTCACTTTAGAGAAACTTATTAAATGCTTCAGGGACAGTATTAAAATGAGAAAAGAAGGAAAGAGCAGGGTGGCCAAATGAAATTGCGCCTTCTCCTTTGGGGTTGTTGCTCTCCTGCCGGCTCAGTAACCCTTGTTCCTGGTTGAAATTCTGTGGAGAAACAGATGGAGCCGAGGAAGGCTATTGCACCGTCTTACATCATGTTGATGATGATGTGCCGTCGTCCAGCCCCTCCGCCCCAGGATGAGGTCCAGGCCCTCCATCCCCTCGATCCATTCTTCGGCAGCACCTTGGTCCGTCTGAAAAAACGTCCTGTTCCTTCCTGTTCTTTCTTTTCCTCGTCCTGCTTCCCGCTGCTTGTCTTCGTAGTCGGCGCCGCCGCCGACAATGTTGCTGCTCCTGCTGTTCTCCTGTCCTGCGTGTCCTGTGCGCACCAATGCCCCTGTCCGATCAGCTGACGCGTAGCTTGGAGAGAGGTTCCTTCCGAGCTTTTACTGGTCCTACCGCGACGGGTGCGTTCTCTCTCACCCGGTCGACCAGCAGCCCCATCCGGCCCAGGAATCCCGACGGAGCGACTGCCACAGACGTGAACGCTTCGAATACTCCTTCTTTCCTTGCGAGCCCACATCTTGGTCCCATTCCACTGAATCATCCCCTTCGCTCCCTCTGACGTCGCTTCTCTCTCCTTCTGAACATTTTCCCCCTGCTCCTTGTCCGGGAAACGGAAAGACGTGGTCGTATGTTGTACAGAAATCATGTTGTACCACGTGCGTCGAATCCTTCGCCCGTTGCGCAAGTCGCCGACGTCGCGGGCGGTTCTGTAGTGTCCGCAAGTATTCTTTTCGAGATCACGAGGGATTTAAGGCTTTCGCTCGAGGGGTCTCCTTCGTTTTTTCTGCTGACAACGCGCCAGATATATTTTAGGGATCCGGTGACGGCGCGTTCCCACCACGACGAAGAAATAGAGAACCTTACCAGTTCTCCCAGCGTCGAATCGGAAATTCCCCGACTGGACTCTATCGGGAAGAGGAAACAGTCGCGCAAACCCTATCAGAAATTGCCCGGCTCCGACTCGGAACGGAACGAGGCAATCTTTCCAGCGACGAACTTTGTTTTCGGACCGTACGAGGCCGTCGAGCTGCTAAAAATCAACTTAGCTTTTTTTCCTGCTGGAGGAAATCTCCGCTCCCTTGCGCGGAGGAGCCGTCTGTCTTCCATCCGTCTCGACACTTCAATATGCCTCGAGTGCTGCGGCCAGATACTCCTCGGTGCCACGGTCCAGGATTCGAGCAACGCAGCCAGCCAGCAAGCCATGTAGCTGACTGACTGAATGAGGCCCGAGAGGTGAAGGAACAGGACACTTTGCGTCTCCGCGAGCGATGCATCGAGCCCGGGCTCGTCGACAACACCCAAAGAGATTGAAGCGACCAGGAACCGTCGACGGACAGTAGGTTGCTACCGTCGATATATATATATTCGACCGAAACGCCGAAAAGCAATAAGGAAGGTAGGCAGTAAACGAAGGGGGCGAACACGGTCAAAGGAAGGTGTTGGCCGAATGCCAAGCGGCTTGACCGAGGCTCCGAGCCGGGCAACTGACCAACCAGCCAGACGATCGGTCGACTAGTCGCTGGCTAGTCGGAGATTAAAATAGATCCGACTCGTTCTGTAGTCAGGCAGAGGAACACCAGACAGATCAGGCAGATGTACCAATGCGGTGACATCTGCTTCGACTTTTGCCTCTGTTCGGCTCGCTGCCCCTATTCCTCCAATCGTGTAATAACAATCATGTCATCTCGAGCGAGCGAGCCGGTCGGCAAGCAGACGAGCGAGAGAACGAACAAGACGGAATATGATCGTTGCTGGCTCCTTCCGACGAGTTTGGCTTCTATTCTACGGCGGCGGCGTCTACGACGACTTTTATTGCTAGCGCCACGGTTACGACGTCGACCGGTAGGACCTCAACGATGCCCTAAGTCATTGAGTAGCACCCGAACACAACCATATTGAGCTTTGTTCCTCGGCTCCGGATGGATCGGGGAAAATTTCCTCAATTCGGCAGAGAACATAAAATTTTCGGTACGAAGTGCGAAGTCTCGGTTTTGCTTTCGCGCTCTTCCCGAGATTTCGTCCTCTCCACGAGGAGGAAACGGCGGCATTCAGAGCCTTGAAGCAAGCTTATTGTCGTCAGATACGATTCCTGAAGGAATTTGTAATTGAAATACCTGATTGCGACTGGGCATCATCTTCTCCTGCGCTCGTTACCCGACCCAAACACGAGCTCGGTCCCCCCGTTGACGATTGGCGAACTTCGCTGAAGTCACAGCGCGGCGTGATCGTCACTGCCTGTTGGGCTCGGGTCGGAGCCCGGCGAGCTCAAGTCGCCGATGGGCTTCTCGGCCGTTGTGTTCGAGGGGTCGCTTGGTTTCAATTTTGAGACAAAATGTATGCGTGCATGTATCAGGTGTACGCTCGACGGCGCGTCGAGAGGGGCGGTTCCATCTCATCCGATCCTCAGTCAGCGGCCGTATTCGATCCGTCGTCTGAACGAGAGGAAAATCTGGCCGGGGTAGGGGGAGAGACGTTTGAAGTTGTACTTTTCGACCTGAGTCAGCCAAGTAGCCGCTCGCTCGGTTAGTCTGTCTGTCTGTCCGTCTATGTGTCTGTCACTCCGGCTCTGTGAAGTATCGGAGAAAGAAATTGGTACAACGAAGCTTTTGCCTATTCGACTACTTCTTCGTCGTCGGCGTCGACTTATTCGGCCAATTGGCTGACTGGCGCTCGTACGAAAAACCTGAAGTTCAAAAGAAGCCAGAACGGAGCAGCGAGAGAGTGCAACAGCAGCAGCAGCAGCAGCAGCTTCTCAGAAGAAGTGCTCATTGAAGCTTCTATTTGTGCGCTTCTCTTAGGTAGCCCAAGGGCCCCTCCGGATAGATATCGGATGGGCGAAAAGCTCCAGTCGAGCTGCCAGACGCGAGAAAGAACGAGGGAGAAACACTGGAGGGATAGAAACAGATAGAATGGACGAGCGAAGCGCGGATGGGTATCAGACAGTCGAACGAGCAGCCCCCCAAACTCAAAGGGTACTACTATGTAGGATCAAACAGAGAGGGACTAAAATGCAGGAGAGCCAAAGAAGGTGTGGGAATTCTAGTCCCAGAGGGACTGGGAGAGAACCTATGGACAGATAAATATGAATACTTCGTAGCCCATGCTCTGAAAATCAACGGCAGAGTCTACATAATGGTCAGCATATATATCCCTCATGAAAACATGAAGGAGATTGTTAAAATCTTCCAAGATCTAAGAGAAATGCTCAACAAGAGAATGGGTTCAAACACATCAGTCATAATAGGAGGAGATTTCAATGCCCACATGGCCGAATTCGATGCCTCTCAAACATGAGAGGAGACCTCCTAAGAGAGTTTGCCAACGAGTATAGGCTCACAATATTGAACTTGTTCAGAAAAAGTGCCAGGGCGATCTTCAACAAAGGAAAAAAGACAGTTTTGGTACTACGTCCTCTGCAACGAGTCTGCTCACAAGAGAGTCATCTCAATGGAAGTGGATGAAGACAGAGTGCGAAGCACCCTGTCGGACCACAACCTAATTAGCATATCTATGAAAACGGAGAAAAAGATTCAAGAAGCGAGTCCCAAAAAGAGACACACAATCATAGACTATGACAAAGCAGCCAATCTCACGAGACACAGTCTCCGTGAAGCCTTAATTAAAGACTCGACTGTTAGCCATGAGATCTTGATGGAGAATATCAAGGCAAAAATATCAGAGAGTTCAAAAGCTATCACAATTAAAGGAAAGTATGCTCTGTGGAACAGAGAGATTGCTCACCTTGATAAAACTAAGCGAAACATCAGTAGAGAATGGCGTAAAGCAAGGAAATACGCAGCAGAGGATGCTGAAGAACTATTCCTAAAGTTCAGAGAAGCTCAGAGAGAGCTCTCGGAAAAAATCAGTTTGGAAATAGCTGCGGAGGACAGGAAAATGTATGATTACATAGTCCGATGTCCACGAAATCTTAGAGCTAAGCGTTTCTGGAACTATGTCAGGAAGTCCGACATGGTGACAAAAAAAGAACTTGCTATCAAAGACAAGAACGGCCTTGATGTCAAAGCCAGCAGAATCCGAAGTCATTTGACCGAGACGATCGAAGATCTTCTAGATGGACAAAAACAGAAGCAGTCAATGAGGGTGGATACAAACTGTCCCATCCTATCAAAAACTTCTCGATATCCTACGAAGATGTGAGGGGAGCTCTAGAAAGAGTGTCTCTCCACTCCTCGGCAGGACTTGATGGGATCCAGGGGCGAATACTCAAAAACCTAGGAGACGAAGGCTGTGAATATCTAGCTCGAGTCTACGATGCAATCGTTAAGGGAGAGGCGTTCCTACCCCGTGAATGGGCGGAGGCCAGGGTGGCTCTAATTGAGAAACCCAATAGTAAACAAGGGATCCTACATACGTATCGACCGTTGACTATATCGGCCCTCACGTATAGAATATTCACCAGAATTATAAACAAGAAAATCCAAAAATGGATAGTCAAACACAAAATACTGGGAGAAATGCAACATGGGTACAGAGACAAGCGTAGAGGCGATGATTGCCTCTTCATACTCACAAGCGCCATAGAAATGGCGAGAGCACAAAACAGAGGACTTCTAGCAACATTCCTAGACTAGCACTCGAGCATATGACAAAGTAATAGCAGAACAAAAGGACTCTGGGAAGTCCTGGAGGAAACACGGACTGCGGCTGAGGTCATAGAGCTACTGAAGCTACTATACAAAGAGAATACAGTTATTCTCAAAACAGAGAAAGGTGACTCGGACAGAGTCGCCACACCAGTAGGTCTAAGGCAGGGCTGCGCCCTATCGCCGACCCTATTTATCCTCTACATATCCGAGCTGGAAGAGCAACTACTCAAGTCCAGAAAAGGCTATGACGTGCGGATCTCAAAAAACATATTCCAACCAAATAGAATACAGAACAGGAAAATCCCTGGACTACTATTTGCGGATGATCTAGTGCTAATCGCACACACATGGTCAGACATGGAGAAACTTCTCCAAATCACGTCTACCTTCGGTGAGGAAAGAGGCCTCATATTCAATCCCGCCAAATCTGCGGTTCTAGAATTCAATCGGGTAGACGACACAACCGATAAGAACTTATTCATTCAGGGTAAGATAATCCCGAAGGAAAGAACTTACAAATACTTGGGCATACATCTAAGCACGGACGCAAACTATCTCGAGGACCAGGAAAAAATCTGGAAGGAGAAAACGCGCAAGGCACTATATCAACTACATGCTAAAGTGCTGTGGAAATTCAATCGCTTTGAAACGACGAAAATACAGTGGAAAGCCACATGCGTTCCAGCGCTAACGTACTGTAACACGGTAACCGTCATGTCGAATACTCTACGGAAAAACATAGAATCAGCCCAGAGACAAGCAGCAAGGTGGGCGCTAGGAGAACCAGCGTGCAACTTAGCCAATGAATTCTTGAAAGGAGAGCTAGGCTGGTCAACTTTCGAAGAGAGGGAAGCCAAGAGCAAAATCACATACTTCAAGCGCATACAAGAGATGCCCGACGAAAGATGGGCGAAACAAATGCTAACCATGATGAGCATCAACAATGCCAAAATCAAAGCCGTAGAGAGGATGAAAACGCTGTCATTGAAATATGACTGCGATAACATAGTGGTTAAACGATCGGAAGCAGGCGAAGCCTGCCTGAACACATTCAAAAAGAGTGTGGAAAAAAAGATCCGAGATTTAGTCCATCAAGAATGGAGAGACGGCATGAACAAAAAGTCCAGCCTCGCAAGGTATCGAAAACACAAACAACAATGCGGCACCATTGACCACATATACGACAATAGCAGAGGAAGTGTATTGCTCGCACAAGCCAGAGCCGGCTTCCTCAGAACCAGGAAATTCAGGTCAAGATTCGAAGAGATTGACCCGAGTTGCAGGATTTGTGGTCAGGAGGAAACTCTGGAGCACGTCCTGATGGCATGCCAAGAAAGGACATGCGGTGACGAAGAGATTCAAAAAAGGCTTGGGTTACATGAGGAGTCTGAAAGGCGAATCATTAACGATACTAAGCGGATTCTCGAGAGTTGGGAGAGAAGGGAGGCGAAGCCACCCACACCCCAGAAGTGAAGCGTCACATAGTCTCCAGCGATCGCGCCCCCGCAGTCGGGGTTTCTATTAGAAATGGAGCATAAATCAATCAATCAATCAATCAGGTTCCAAGTGCATCCGTGACGGGCGACAACTCGGTTTAGAATGTGCGCACAAATATAATACATAAGGTGCTCAGTCCGGTGGAGGAACGGAGAAAATCTCGCCGTGTGTTCAGACACGGACATTATCCCAAATATCCGCGTTCAAATTCGCTGGTGGCCCGATTTCCTGACCTGTATCGGGATATCGAGACAACGACCAGAGTCGGAGCATCGGAGAAGTGTCCAAGCGGGCACCCAGGAGTCTGCGGCGCGTGGAAACTCGGAGCTTCTTCTGAGAGCCCCTGGTTCTTTCGCAGTTGTCGGCGCGTAGTTGCGGCGGCTACAGCTGCAAAAGACGCCGCTACTTGTGCAACAGCAGCTACTGCTGATGCTGCTGTAATTACGAGCAAAAAGTAGGGAACAAACAAAAAAGTCCAGTTTTTTTATGACGAAGACCATGCAGCAAGTTAGTCGAGCCTCCAGGCAGGCTGGCGGGCGAACAAGCATCAACGCATCGTCAAATTATGACTCTCCCTTTTTCTTTCCTCCCTCTCCCTCGGGATCATCTGCAAAAATGAACGATTTGTAACGAGACACCTCTTCAGCTGTTGGTTTTTCCATCACCGGTCTCCTGGAATTTTCCGCTCTAGGTTGCTGAGAGCGTTTTTCCCGCATGTGAATCCTTTCACATCCTGTCACAATCCGGCAGGATTCCGGGAGCATCTGAACTAATTCGAATCCGAGTTGGAGCTCTCTCCTCGAAGAGCTCGGAATCCGCTTTCCCTCTCGTATCTGACGTCTCCGGAGTCGGGCCTTTTTTTTTTCGCAAATTGAGCTTGCCGAGTAAAATGCTGTCGACGACGGCGACGACTGTTGAATTGCGTCAGCTGGTTCTAAAAGCTCGAGACGTCGCATTGAATTACTTTCAGGCAGAAGCTGACAAGCGAAGTATAAGATAGACGAAGATTCGTACATACATATCTCCCTCTTCTCCTTCTCTCGTGCGTCCGACGTTTCCCGCCTTGCCTTTTGCCCTCCAGACAGTCAGTGAGACATCGGGGGCATCAGATACGAAGTTTAATGGACGCAAACTTCGGCGAGGCTCGAGAGGGAAACGATGGGGTCGAGGAGAGGACAGCGAGCGAGCGAGGCTTTTTCGTGTCGACCCGACGAACGATGTTAATTGGCGATAGAGTAAGTGAGGGTGTCCCCGTTGGCAGTTCGGATGGAAGATGCCCTTCGGCAAGTTTGCCGCCGAGCCACCTTGCCGGTCGCTCAGTTGTCGCTCGGTTGGCATGCGGATTGGCCAAGCCGAACCCCATGAGCGAGCTTGTCGTCTGGCAGCGTGAAAAACACGAATCGAACACGCTCTAATGGAGTGAGCCAGTTCGCTCGCATTCCCGACGCCTGTCTGGAAGCTCGAACAACATTCGGAGCGACCGAGCAGTCCGTGTTCTGCATGACGATTCCGTTCTCTGCGGCGGTTTCCTTCCCCTCAACTCCTTGATTCCCTCTCGCAGCCAATCGGAGCCGGGGGTTCGATGGTAAACCAAGCCTCGACCCTGTATTCAAAACCACGCGCGGCTAAGTTGATTATACTCGAGCCGGATCAAAGGTGGACGGTGCCCTCTCTCGACTTTAGCTCGAGCCTTCGGAAACCGGGTCCCGTGCCCAACGAAGATCGCCGGACAGCTTCTGAATGGAAAACGTAGCACGAGCAGAGGGTGGTGGAAGGACGAAGCTATCGGGAGAGTTTGTTTCGTAGTCAAGGCAGAATCTCCCGAACGCGGAATCAGAAAAACAAACTCGTTCCCAAATGAACCAACAGGAGGAACAGCCGGGAAATATCCACGGTCGAGCGAACGGCAGGTGGATTGAAACGTTGGAAACAAGCCCTTGAGAGCTCCTGAGCCCTCTTCACTCCTCGGGATCCTCTCGCCGACATACGCTCCGTATGGTAGCTACTTTCGTCTGGGGATCCGCCGATGAACGACGCCGGCTTTCAGCTGATCCAGGGGAACAGCAAACGGAGGAATGATCGATGAAACTGGAAGCTTGTGGTGGTGTTTTTAGTCTCGAGTGATAATGGTCGACGAAGGATTTGTGCCTCGCTGATTTTTCCGCAGCTCCCCCCCGAGTGGACTCGCGGGACTTCGGGAGCGATCGAGTCATTACCGACCGCTGTCGCTGACCACCGCTCCGGTCGTATCGATGTAGGAGATGCTGCCGGATCGCGATTTCCCGCGACGGCGTCGGTGCCAAAGCCGTTGGAATCGGTCGAGCTCGGTGAGATACTTGGCATACAGGAGTAATGAGGGAGATGAAGAACGAGAGGATTCACAGGAGGCGCTCGAGCTGAATAGTAATCAGTAATCAAACTTATCGATTGTCTGAACGAGGGACCGTAGCGGGGCCGAGAGCGAACGGGGAAGCGGAAGAATGGGAAATGGAGGAAACGCGGGGGAAAATGGGCGCGAGCCCGACCACCTTGTGTGTTATAGGAAGTTATTGTGAGTTCCGGCCTCGCGTCGACTCGAATAGCTCTGGGGAACATCCGGAACATTCGCGAACAAGGAAACAGACTCTCGCGCAATCTAGTCGAGTTAATAGAGGGCGAATTAATGTAAATTCAAGCTTTTTCTCTCTTTCACTCTCTCTCTCTCTCTTTCGTGGGTCGGCGATTGCGGCTGCCGCGCCGACACTGGAGACACTCGCATAGAAGACGGATACGGGCGGGACGAGACACAAGTGTTGCACGCACTACGTGCTGCCAATCAGCATGCCATTGTCGCGAGATCCTTGGGGACCTCGTCGGTCCTTATTGGCATCGCTCTATTCATTCATTCGCCCCTTCGTCCGTCCGTCCGCTCGCCCATTCGTTCGTTCGTTCGTCGGGGGCTCCGTTCCACGGCCCAGAGTAGCGGCACCAGCAGCTGCAGGAATAGAAGTGGAAGAGGAAGCATGCTGTCACACCGAGGACGCCTTGACGAGAGCTGTATGTGGAGTTCTTCTCCAATTTGGCTGCCTTGTCTCCGCGCTGAATGTCGCCCGCAACGACAATGTCGTGAATTTTCAGCAAGCAACACCCAGAATCGTTCATTAGCTAGTTCGTTGGGGACCAACGGAGAGTTTCTCCCGAACAATCCGAGCGATCATCCTGTTCCGAGAAGCTTCCATTCGAGAATCGATCAGTCGGGCGCCGTCCCTGTTCGTCCCGGATGAGGACGATTCTTACGTTGCTCGTCGATATGAATATATTGTCCTAAAATATGTAGGTTAGGCAAGCCAGGAGCCTGTCGGAATCGGAGTCGAGCACTGTGGAAAGAAATTTTGAAACATAGGGGCAATGACGTTCGCGACGACTCGACGAAAAGTCATTCGCCCGAAGATTTCAGTCGTTTCTGCCGCGGCTTCTGTCGGTGGTACTGGTAGTCGAGCGAGCAGGAGTCGAGCCGCTCTTCTAAATTTTTGACGGCGTCGAGTCAAGTCAAATCGAGCTGCCCGAGCGGCCGGCCGGACGGCCAGGGTGAGTCGGGTCGAGTCGAGCTGAACATAAGAGCCACATCGCTCGTTGGATTCGTCCGAAGTGGATGATAGCGTGGCGACGGTCATCGCGACTCAGCAGCGGCGACGGCGGCGGCAGATTCGTCGCCATGGTGGTGGCTCATAAAAAAATTCTACAGCGACTCGCAGTCAGTCAGATGCTCGTTCAGGAACAGGGAGAAAATGAGGAGAGTGGAAGTGCTCTGAGGGGACTTGAGATGGAAGATGAGGCTAGAGTCACCGCAGCCAGACTCCTGTCCTGCTTGAGTCAAATCCTCGACATCACAATTTTCCACAGAACTTCATCTCGATAGTAGCTCCTCTCGGAGCTGGGAGGGAAAAATTCATTCCGAACGAGCAATTAGGCGTCGGAAACGAGGACAAGAATTTGATTTCTCTTTCCGTCCAATCGCCGAACGAGGTGACCCCGCCCTCGAGAGTCTCGGGCGGAAGCTCGACCGGGTGAAACCTCGGCGATCGGAGGCTTTCTGAATACAAAGTACTACTATTCTCCTCGTGTATTGCCTCGCTTGGACATTACAACATTTGTCGTCGGAAGAAAAATCGCCCCTATTCCGAAGAAATTCCGAATTGAGAGTACCGTGGTCCGCCGAACAGCCCGGAACCTAGAGTCATTAAATTGATCCTGCCATGTTTTAATTACGCCACATCGACAGACAGAAACGAACGACGGAACGAACGAACCGGCGAGCGACCGGCATTTGGCGTCACGGGCAGACAGCCAGCCCCTCGTACGCTATTATGGCCACGGTGGCTTTACTCTGCCACCGATTGTATTTTCTCATTTTTTTCCTCTCCGTTCACTGATCAATAAATGACCGGCGACTCCCGCTGGGATTGCCATAGAGACAAACAGTGAAAATCCCGTCCAGCCAGCCAGTCAGTCAACTAACGACATAGACAGATGGATAGCCAGAGCCAAGAGCTACCGTCGAACGGGACACTATTTCAAGGTCCCGCGTCGAAGACATATGTGTTCCCTCCGTTTTTTTTTCTGTTTCTCGTTGGTCCCTCCGCTTTCGGACCGGACTGATTCCGCTGTTTGGAAGTTTGCCAATGGAACTCCGACCAATCAAAGTCGGTAGCAGACACTGCGACCGAGGAGCATAGCGAGCGAAAGGAAGGCGAAAAAACGGATACCGCGACCTGCGGCAATCGATCCGATGGGGCATCGAGTCGGTGGGCGCTTAGAGCTCGGTCGCTTACTAATTAAGGGTGATGTTCATCTATATATATAAAATTG